GATTGAGAGTGTCTTATTAGTATTGATTATTGAGTGAGACAGATGATTTGATGTATGTTTGTAATTCTCTATAACTAGTGGATCTTGTTTCTCATCCGTGGACGTAGTTTGATTGGATCAAACAATGTTAAATTATTGTCTCTTATGTATTTGATTTATTATTTGATTTTGCTTCCGTTAGTGTGACTGGATTGGAGGCTTTTAGCCCAACAAATGGTATCATAGTAGTGGTGTTCTCCAACAAGTGATATCAGAGCTGATGGTTCGAGACATGAAAAGAGTTGATAGTTTGAGATATGGGAAGAGCTTAGTTTGAGACTTGAGAAAAAGTAAGCTTAGAAGAACTCGATTCAAGAGAAGAGTTCGAGTTTAAGTTTTGAAGATTGAAGATCAGTTTGTATGAAGCATGAAGACACACAAAAGAAGATGAGTGTGAGACTTCTATTATAGATGGAGCCAAGCATATCTAGTATAAAGACAGATGATTGATGAAATTTAAGTCAAGGTGAAGATTGTTAGAAATATTGACTCAAATCTTATAAGAGAGTTATTTGAGATTTGTTAGATATTGCTTGATAGACAAGAAAACTTGTAAAAAGAGAATTTTAAATGAAAGAAGATTCTTAATAGGTAAGTTTGACTTACAGAAGAAGAATTCTAAAAGGAAAAAAATTCTTAATGGGCAAGTTTGTATAGTTATAAAATAGGTGAAGTCTCTATAAGGTTTAGTATGAGAAAAAAATGTAAGAGAGTTGTAGAGTTTTATGAGATAAATACCCCATAAGAGTATTGAGGCTCTATGTCTTATGGGTATGTATGTTTGTTTGTGAGTAGATTAGAGGAAACTGAGAGGGTCCACATAGGTATGATGTATGGAAGCATATAAGTATGTGTTTGGTTATTTTGAAAGGGTGCACAAGGGTTTAGGTTTGTGTTTGTTTGGGTTGAAAATACTTCATAGAACTAGAAGAGATTGAGAGTGTCTTATGAGTATTAATTGTTGAGTGAGACAGATGATTTGATGTATGTTTGTAATTCTTTATAACTAGTGGATCTTGTTTCTTATTCGTGGACGTAAGCTGATTGGATCGAATCACGTTAAATTATTGTCTCTTGTGTGTTTGATTTATTATTTGATTTTGCTTCTATTAGTATGATTAGATTAGATGCTTTTAACCCAACAAATAGTATCAAAGCTATGGTATTCCCCAATAAGTGGTATCAGAGCTGATGGTTCGAGACATGGGAAGAGTTGACAGTTCGAGATATAAGAAGAGCTTGGTTTGAGACATGAAAAGAAGTAAGCTTAGAAGAGCTTGATTCAAGAGAAAAGTTCGAGTTTAAGTCTTGAAGATTGAAAATTAGTTTGTATGAAGTATGAAGACACATAAGAGAAGATTAGTGTGAGACTTCCATTATAGGTGAAACCAAGCATATCTAGTATGAAGACAGATGATTGATGAAATTTGAGTCAAAGTAGAGATTGTTGGGAATATTGATTCAAATCTCATAAGAGATTTGTTTGAGATTTGTTAGATATTGCTTGATGGACAAGAAGACTTGCAAAAAAAGAATTCTAAAAGAAAGAAGATTCTTAATAGGTAAGTTTGACTTGCAAGAGATGAATTCTAAGGGGAAAAAGATTTTTAATAGGCAAGTTTGACTTATAGAAGAAGAATTTTAAGAGGAAAAGGATTCTTAATGGGCAAGTTTGTATGATTATAAATAGGTGAAGTCTCTACAAGATTTGGTATGAGAAAAAGATATAAGAGAGTTGTAGGATTTTGTGAGATAGACACCCCATAAGAGTATTGGAGCTCTACGTCTTATGGGTGTGTATATTTATTTGTGAGTGGATCAAAAGAGACTGAGAGGGTCCACATAGGTATGATGTATGAAAACATATGGGTATGTGTTTGGTTATGTTGAAAGAGTGCACAAGAGTTTTGGTTTTTATTTGTTTAGGTTGAGAATATTTCATAAAACTAGAGGAGATTGAGAGTGTCTTATGAGTATTGATTGTTGAGTGAGGTAGATGATTTGATGTATATTTGTAATTCTCTACAACTAGTGGATCTTGTTTCTCATCTGTAGACGTAGGTTGATTGGATCGAACCACGTTAAATTATTTTCTCTTGTTTGTTTGATTTATTATTTGATTTCGCTTCCGTTGATGTGATTGGATTGGAGGCTTTTAGCCTAACAAATGGTATTAGAGTTGTGGTGTTCCCTAACAAGTGATATCAAAGCTGATGGTTTAAGACATGGGAAGAGTTGAAAGTTCGAGATATGGGAAGAGCTTGGTTTGAGACTTGGAAAGATGTAAGCTTAGAGGAGCTCGATTCAAGAGAAAAGTTTAAGTTTAAGTTTTGAGGATTGAAGATCAGTTTGTATGAAGCATGAAGACACACAAGAAAAGATAAGTGCAAGACTTCCATTGTAGGTAAAGCCAAGCATGTCTAGTATGAAGATAGATGATTGATGAAATTTGAGTCAAGGTGGAGATTGTTAGGAATATTAACTCAAATTTTATAAGAGATTTGTTTGAGATTTGTTAGATATTGCTTGATGGATAAGAAAACTTACAAAAGAAGAATTCTAAAAGAAAGAAGATTTTTAATAGGTAAGTTTGACTTACAAAAGAAAAATTCTAAGGGGAAATGAATTCTTAATAGGCAAGTTTGACTTATAGAAGAAGAATTCTAAGAGAAAAGAGATTCTTAATGGGCAAGTTTGTATGATTATAAATAGGTGAAGTCTCTACAAGGTTTGGTATGAGAAAAAGATGTAAGAGAGTTATAAGATTTTGTGAGATAAACACCACATAGGAGTAATAGGGCTCTACATCTTATGGGTGTGTATATTTGTTTATGAGTGGACTAGAGGAGACTGAGAGGGTCCACATAGGTATGATACATAGGAGCATATAGGTATGTATTTGGTTATGTTAAAAGGGTGCATAAGGGTTTTAGTTTGTGTTTGTTTGGATTGAGAATACTTCATAGGACTAGAGAAAATTGAGAGTATCTTATGAGTATTGATTGTTGAGTGAGGCAGATGATTTGTTGTATATTGTAATTCTCTACAACTAGTGGATCTTGTTTTTCATCCGTAGACGTAGGTTGATTGGATCGAACCACATTAAATTATTATCTCTTTTTTGTTTGATTTATTATTTGATTTCGTTTCCGTTAGTGTGATTAGATTGGAGGCTTTTAGCCCAACAAATGGTATCAGAGCTGATGGTTCGAGACACGGGAAGAGTTGACAGTTCGAGATATGAAAATAGCTTGGTTTGAGACGTGGGAAGAAGTAAGCTTAGAGTAGCTCGATTCAAGAGAAGAGTTCGAGTTTAAGTTTTGAGGATTGAAGATTGAAGATCAGTTTGTATGAAGCATGGAGACACAAAAAAAAGATGAGTGTAAGACTTCCATTGCAGGTGGAGCCAAGCATGTCTAGTATGAAGACAGATGATTGATGAAATTTGAGTAAAGGTGGAGATTACTGGGAATATTGACTCAAATCCCATAAAAGATTTGTTTGAGATTTGTTAGATATTTCTTGATGGACAAGAAGACTTACAAAAGAAGAATTCTAAAAAAAGATGATTCTTAATAGGTAAGTTTGACTTGCAAGAGAAGAATTCTAAGGGGAAATGGATTCTTAATAGGCAAGTTTGACTTATATGAGAAGAATTCTAAGAGGAAAGAGATTCTTAATGGACAAGTTTGTATGATTATAAATAGGTGAAATCTCTACAAGGTTTGGTATGAGAAAAAGATGTAAGAGAGTGTTAGGATTTTGTGGGATAGACACCCCATAGGAGTATTGGGGCTCTACGTCTTATGGGTGTGTATGTTTGTTTGTGAGTAGAATAGAGTAGACTGAGAGGGTCCACATATGTATGATGTATAGGAGCATATGGGTATGTGTTTGGTTATGTTGAAAGGGTGCACAAGGGTTTAGGTTTGTCTTTGTTTGAGTTGAGAATACTTCATAGGACTAGAGGAGATTGAGAGTGTCTTATGAGCATTGATTGTTGAGTGAGGTAGATAATTTGATGTATATTTGTAATTCTCTATAACTAGTGGATCTTGTTTCTCATCTGTTGACATAGGTTGATTAGACCGAAACACGTTAAATTATTATGTTTGATTTATTATTTGATTTCACTTTCGTTGGTGTGATTGGATTAGAGGCTTTTAGCCCAACAAATGGTATCAGAGCTGTGATATTTTCCAACAAGATAGGCTATTGATGAAAATTTTCAATAATCGATTTTGTTTGAGAAAAGGTTATGTAATATAGACTAGAACTGGACACATTTACTATGTGAGTGAAAACCAAAATGATGTTATATTTTATTTTTTTATTGGGAGAATAATATTTTAGATAAAGAGTGGGTATTTACAAAAAAGAATGGATAGAATTTTTAAATGGGTAGCTATTTTTTTAAAGTGTATAGAAGTATGTATCTTCCATTTTATATAACATTTTTAATAATTTTGGTTTTTTTTTATCAATTTTTCAATCGAGTTAGTATTACTTGATTCGTAATATTAACTTAATATAATATTTTATAATAATATAGATAATATAATTTTTTAATACAAAAAAAATCGTAACACAAAAATAAATATAGATAATATATTTGCATATACTGTGGAAGTGTATGGCAAAATGGTAATTCAGTTAACATCTATATTTTAGAGTTGCTTTGTTTCATGCTACCAACTAAAAAAATTTGTCTTGTTTTGTCCATATACCTAATGGCATCTTTAGAAAGAGATCCTTTCTTTTGAATATTGATCAATCCTGCTTGTCCTATTCAACAGCATACGCTTATTTTTCTTTTATTATTTTGAGATGATGTTATATTGCTTACACTTGCAAGCACTATCATTAAATCTAAATCTGAATAAAATATCAAATTTTCCCTTTCTTTATTTTCATTACAGCATGAGGCTAGAACAACCATCGGTGATCAGATTACGACAAGAGCTGAAAAGCAGGACACTTGTTTTTTATTAGATTTTTCCTTATCCGTTAAAAAGAAACTCTTTACAACCCCATATGTCAAAAACAAAGGCTAAGATTAAATAATGCCCAAAAAGCCCATCAAGAAGAAGTAGCATATAGGTAAATAAAACCAACAAATTACCGCTGGTTTTACTGTTTTAATTAGAAGTTCAAGCCTTCAAGCTGATCGTATAAGCCGAAAGGGCATAAGATTTCTCCTTCAAGAAGTGGAAACTCAGCTTCATAGCCTGCAGGATCCATCATCATGGATACCAACATATCACTTGACATATAACAACTGTCCCCGAAAAATGGTTCTGTCCAGAAATTTCCACTATTTGCCTCATAGGTGTCGAACAAAGCCGTATTATTGTTATAATTATTATCTGAAACTGAGTCTTTGCTGGATGCAAGAGTACTATCTGTGGTGATGGAGGAGTTCTGATCGCTTGAGGCTGGTTGTTGGGATGATAGTGAGCTTTCAAGAATTAATGGTGGACTTGTGGGATTAATCAAAAGATGATTGTTTAGCTTTGTTTCTTCTTTCTCTTTACTTGTCCCATCCTCTAGTATTACTGGACCTTGACTGTTATCTTTCACATCTTTTGTTGCTAATGGCTTATGCTTAAAGCGCTTCTTGAGAGTTGTATGCCAGTGGTTCTTTATCTCATTGTCTGTTCGTCCAGGTAACTGGGCAGCAATGGCAGACCACCTGCATATTGTGAAAGAGCATTAGGCCCTCTTTCCATAACTGCTCTGAGGTTGAATAGAATGCATGATAAAGGATTTTTTTTCAAGAATGTTGTGAAAATCATTATCATAGCACAATCACTATTATTCTAGTTACCCTTTATTTCTTTTCACAGTATTTGAGTGGTAAAACGACTAAACGATTGAAGCCATTATTTTACGGGCTTGTGATTCTTGAGACGTTGTCCTACGTAAACGTCACTGCATTTTCAACAACGGCGAATTTAATTTCTACACTAGAAATTAAGAACAAATTCTTTTCATCATTCCTAGTTTCCCGTCAAGTACGTGGGATTGGGAGGTAATTAGGCTAATAAAGTCTCTGGGTACAAAAATATAAGTCCACCCAACAAGGACTTCGTCCAATGTTTCGAGAAATATATTCAATTTGTGAAGGACTAGTTTGTCAATTAACAAGTACCTGTTTCCTAGCGATTCATGAAATCTGATGATTGCCTCTTCTTCTTCTTTGCTGTAATTTCCTCTTTTGATGTCTGGCCTTAAATAATTCATCCATCGCAGCCGGCAACTCTTCCCACATCTTGCCAAACCTGAAACCGGAGGATCGATATATAAACGATATTGAAGAGAATTCCATATTGAACAATGCTACAAAGTATTTCAGTCATCATCCTTTTATAAAACGATGGTGCTATATATTTTATCATTACATCAAAGAATCCCCAAACCGAATTGACATAAGATGCAAAAGAAGAAATAGGATATTTTGTTTGCTTGAGCCACAAAACCTGTTCTTCCAGATGCACAAGTTATAGATGAAAGGCATCCCAATAATCGATTACCTGCATACTTTGGGAGTTGGCGCCAATTCCAGCAGCCATATCTGGTGACATAAGCCTTCAGTTTTCTATCTTCCTCTGGAGTCCAGGTTCCTTTCCTTAGTCCGTTCTTATCACAGCAAGGTGTTCTTACCATGTTTCCTTGCCCCCTTCACTTACTCTCTCTATTTTTCTCTCTCTCTCAGTTTCAGCTCCCCTGACACACTTCAAAGTTGCAACTATTTATACTCTTACCATTCCTTAGACCAAAACGTGTTACACATTTTTCTTGAACTACCTATTTAATATTATGGTATTTGTCCTTTTAAGTTTCATTTTTTTCTGTTTTTATAAATACCCATTTATATTTAATAAGTAAAATGCCCTTTGGTCTTATAGGAATGGTCCATATCCAGGAAAATTCACCAAATGTCGCTTTCATCTAGTCCCATGTATAATATAACTCATATTCTAACATTAGTCGAGACAAAGTATATGTATAGTTATCATCTCTGTAGCTGACCTTCGAGGAAAGATGATTATGATAAAGCATGCCACCACAAACGTGATAAACGCACTCGGTCAAGGAAAACTTCGATGAAGGTCAGTTGAAATCATCAGAGATTCTGCACGTTTTATTTTCGTCAAATTGTTTCTTGAACATGTATAAACTTTTTGAATTTGAGGATCAATTCCAGTTTTTGGAGGTTCTTTTATCAAATCTGGTATACATATGTCCATGCCAGTTTTGTGTCAGAATAGGAAGTGACAGGTTTAGAAACGACTGGACCACTGAACAAATGCTTCTATTCAAAAGTTTTTTATATAAATTGGTCTTTTTATTAGTCAATTGATAGAGGTAAGATAACTTCTTAATTGGAGTTTATCTTAATTATTTACCATAAAAATTTAAACTCAAATGCCCTTTATATGTTCTAATCCACATGCGTAACATAAACTTATGCAAAAATAATAATAATAATAATAATAATAACAGTAGTAATAAAAAAATAGTGTAATTAAATACAGTGCTGCTGCTGTATATACTTAAATGGTACAAAGAACAGACAAAAAGTCCAATCTGCAACATTTGTGTAAACTAATAATTTTTTTTTTTGTGGCGTAGATGCTGCCTTCAAAAGTAAGATATTATTGGGATATTTCTTTTGCATTTAAAGGCAGAGGATGGGCCGTTGTGTTGGATTTGAGTTGAATTATTTCAGCTTAAATTGTTTTGAGTTAAATTAATTCGGATTGCATTGTATTGTATTTAAGTTATTCCATTTTTGGATCATTTTAGTTTTAAAATTTTCAGTTTGACTTTTAGATCATTTGTGGCTAACATTTAGATTATTGTTCAATTTGTTAATTTTTAAAATCAAATAAATATAATTAAATTATATAAAATTAAAATATCAAAATTTAAAAGTAATTTGTTAATAATATGAAATTATGTAAATTAAATATAACTTTAACTTTATTTATGATAAAAATAATTAATAATTTTTTATTGATTGGGATTTAATATTTATTGATTAAAATTTCATGCATTAATTATTAATTTATTATTAGTAATTCATATACAATCATATTCATTTACATTAATCATTAAAAATAAATTGAAAATAGACAAATAACTAAACAATTATAAAAGAAAACTCACCACAATAATCATCACTAAAGAGTACAACAATATCAAAAAGAGTACATTAGTTTTGATTAATTAATTGCCCTTATGGTTTAATCTTAGTACTTTAAAATTCTCTTCATAAAATATCAAAATTACTTCAATATAGTTTCAATCTAATTTTAATAATTGACCATTCAAATAGCAAATAGTACAATAAAAATGAAGATAACATATTTAATATTACCTATGTTTGGCATTGCCTGTGAATATAGCACGACATGAATATGATTTGGTTGACTTGATTTTAATTTTAACCTTTAATATTTGATTTTGAATGTTAATTTTATTATAACAATATAAGTATAATTTTATAAATATAAATTATACTGTATAATTTGTAAAATTTTATTCATAAAAAAAATTAAGAAATTTATTTGTTTAATACAACTAATCTTAATACTAATGATTTATAGGTAAAATATATTATAAGATTATTATATCTAATAATTAAAATGAATAATATATAATATTATTAATTTACCTCTAAATTGTATTTTATTTAAAATTAATAATTAATTTTTATATTTACTACTTATTAGTAAATAATAAATTAATAAATTTTGAGATATAAAATTAAATTAATTAATTGATTAATGTTTTCTATTTTTGTCAGTATGTGGTTTTAACTTGAAATTTGAGGGGTTAATTTATTGAAAGTAATCAAATAATACAAGTACATTAGGCCACTGAGAGAAACGAAAGAAATAAAAATAACCAAACCCAAAAGAAAACTGTAATTAATCATCCCTTGACCGACCAGGTTCATGATCGAGTCCTGAATGTTGAATCTGAACTAATTTCTCGAAAAAGATTTAACGAACAAGGAAGGTGCAGAGTGGCACTGAAGGGGTCACTTTGATTTTCTAATTGCAATCCAATTAAAGTGACAACAGGTAGGAGTTCCACATCACGTGTGAACTTAGACCATTCTCCATGGATTTTTGAGTCACATTTAGCACCAGTCAACCCAAAATCTTTTAGGACTCGACTCCGGAAATAAGAAGGAACCAGCCACAAATTAAAGCAGGAAAAAAAAAAAAAAAAAAAAGAAAAAGGCTCCATTGGCCCCGGTCTTAGATCCATGTTTATCGAGGCCTTTAATTTTTTTTTTCTCTTTTGGTTAATTTTCGGCTTTGCTTTTAATCTGGTAATAAGTGGCCAGAAACACAGCATTCTAGATGATGTAGAATCTTCAAATTGATTTTCATGGAAGGCAAAAAAGGACAGGTCAGTAGTGTTGTTTTGGAAGCTTTGAAAAAGGTGTTCAGATTTTTTGAATAGCTTTGGAACTGGCCCGGGCAATGTTTGGAAAGTTATGAAAAAGAAGAAGACAAAGGCAATGCAGGACACGATCAGAATGGGGAACCATTTTAAATTATTTAATGAACAACCCTCAAGTTCCTAAAGCAGTTTTGGATTCACACTAATTTAGTAATTTTGACTGCCTCGATCCTTCCCTTCTTTCAATTTCTCTAGCGCCCTGCCAGCAGATTTCATGTGCAATAAGTTAGCTTTCTATTCTTGTCAAACATGAATGTTATAGGGACGATGATGTTAAGTTTTAAAAAGAAAAACGAATAACTTCCAAAAACATAAAGTTAATTAAAATGTAAATTATCAAGATAAATAGTCTACATTGGGGATAACTATATGGGTGATTTCACGTCTTCAAATGATATTATAGATGTTTTTAAAGAATTATTGGGGAGGTTAAAAGACCATCAAGGGAATGTATTATTTTTTATTATTAAAGTTCAAATTTATTGTGAAATTATAAAAATATAATTTTTTATGAATTTTTCAAATTTAACATAAATAAAAATACTTAAATCAATCTTAAAAATATATTAAATAAAATTAAAAAAATTTTCACCATTTAAAATAATTAGAAGACAAGATTATTAAACAGAGTGGTCATACTACTTTTTTTATGTGTAAAAAAAGAATTTTAGATTAGTTTGAAAAACCAAAACCTCTTTTTTTTTTTCAGGAATTGATTAGTAAAACAAGTACTGTAGCTTAATTTCAAAGGATGCTTCCAAGCAGTTGGACTGTAAATATTATTATTATTATTATTTATGTTTTACCTCATTTTTTGTGTGTAAAGTATGCTATTTACCATATGCTTAATTTAAATAAAATAAAATGTAACCTTAAATTTACAAAATATTATCTGTCAGATAAGGAAAGGCCGAGGGCGGCGGATGATGTCTTTGTCTTCGTCGGCCCAACGCAATGAAGCATGAACAATGCCACGGTCAGCTTCCTTGTTTTCTTGTGGGTTGATACTAAATTTTATTTTCATTTAGGAAATTAAATATATAGGAATAACCGCCTACAAGGCTACAACCTATATATATTGTATTAGTTAAAAAAGGGGACAAGAAACTCATCCAGCAAAGTGCTGTATGCCCCCAAACAATAGCCAAACCAAGGGAATAACAAAATTGCTTAATGTTAATGTTTTGTACAAATATCCATTTTGTATGAAAAAAATTAAATAATTTTAGATCTTAATTTTATTTTAAATTAAAAATAATTTTATATTAAATTCACATTTTAATTAAGAAAATCTGAGCACATTTAAGTTGACTTACGTGAGCATATTTCTATTTAAGTATGTTTGAGTTTTTCTTATTTGGGCTTATTATTGTAATTCTTTTAATGAGATTTATAACTCTCACTAAAAATTCATATAATTCTCACTTATTCTTTTAGTGAGAGTCAATGTGATTCGCATAAGTTTTTGCTGTAAGTTTTTTTGTTAATTAGATATGATAAGAAATAAAATACGACTATATCTATCAATTTAGCAAAGATTAAAAGACCTTCACTAAATGCAAATAATTAGTGAATGTTAATTTTAGTTATCACTAAATGTAAAACTTATAATGAAGTTAAATTATGACTCTTATTATATCTTTTACATTTAATGAAGATTTTTATTAACATTCACTTAAAGTTTTTGCTTTTAGTAAAGATTTGTATTGATCTTCATTTCAAATTATTTGTATTAAGAATTATGATTTTCACTATGCAATTTACATCATTTAGTGAAAAGATTTAAGACTCTCATGAAACATACTTATTTATGTATTTTTATTTAATTTATTAATAGACGCCTATTTTTTTTTTATATATTTGTAGTTCTTACTCCAAACAAAACATAAATGAATAATATTTGTCTGAAAAATTACTACATAAAACCAAATAAGCATCCAAATGTACAAATTTCAAACAATATACAAATATCTCTCAAATATATCAATTTTTTTTAAGTAATCTATAATTTTTTATCCAAAAAACTTAGACAGGTTAGCAAGATAACCAAGTAATACATTGTCAAAGTCAACAGGAATCCTTTCCTAATATTATTTCCCTTTATCACTACTTCTCAACTCCCACTTAACTCATTTTAAGGTAAAGAATCTCTTTGTAGGTTGAAATTCTTAAGGCCAATAAAAAAATTCCACATGATGAAACCATTGTTAGGTAGTAAACAAGATTTCAGTAAGGTTCACATGCCTGTAATGCTTCCCTCTATGAAATTTTGCATTTGCAAATAACTAGCAAGGAATAAACTAACTTTTATTTACAAAATCGAACAAAATTTTAAGTTCATGAATATTTTAAAATGTAAAAAAAGG